AAACGAAGTACCTGAAACCAAAACAGAAAACCGTAAGCACGAAGCTTAGTGAGTTCCCCCATCATACTACATACCACATAACATACATACTGTCGGGCAATTCTGGGGTGCCCGACCTACCCATGTCAAGCAGTTATGGGGTGCTGACCAACCCATGTCAAGCAGTTCTAGGGTGCTGACCAACCCTTGTCAAGCAGTTCTGGGGTGCTGACCTACCCTCCGGTTTATCCCAACCGGCTCCGGGGACTATTTCACCCCTTACTACTACCACATAAAATATAGCATAAACATACTGTCAGGCATATCTGGGGTGCCCGACCTACCCTTCGGTCCTAACGACCGAACTTGGGGACTATTCCCCTCTTACTACCACTATCACATATAACATATCATAAACATACTGCTAGGTATGCATGGGTTTTAACGACCCCTTCGGTATCTTTCAACCGGTATCCAGGGACTAATTCACCCCTACTACTACTAACATGCATCACAAAGCATCCTAGCACACAAACATAACAGATAATGGCATACCAGATAATTATCACAAAGACAATCATCTAACAAACAATTCCTACTAGTGGGCCGGCATTGTGGCCGTAGACCCACTTCTACTGGAAGGTAACTCACCTCACACTGCTGAAGTCCCGCAGACCTAACCCCAGCTGCTGGATGACAGGTTCCCGAACCGTCAACATCAAAATAACACCCAATTAATAATTGGGTTCCAATACATAACCATAAGTCCATGCTTGGGGGTAAAAGACTACTCTACCCCTAATTTGGCTTGATTTAAGCCCAAGGCCTAATCCAAAGGCCCAAAATTCAACTATGAGTCAAAGCCCAACATATGGCCCAATTTTCCAAATTGGCCCAAACCTTTACAAGGTCTTACCATCAGGCCCAACCATTTATTCCAGTCCAACATTTGACATTCTAATGGCCTAATATCATATAATCATTAAGGCCCAAACTATGGCCCATCTATGGCCAACTTTTCAAATTGGGACCAAATCCTCATAGGGGCCTTACCCTAAGCCCATCAACATATTCTAGTCCATATGATTATTCTTGGATGGCCCATTAATAATCCAATTACCAGAGCCCACTGGAAAGGCCCAACTCAAGCTCCAAGTGAAATTAGGGTTTTCACATAAAATGATGATTAGGGTTAAGTTTTCCTACTTAACCCATTAAGGACTTAATCCATTAAGTCCCACATGGCCTTAGGTAAATTTGCAATGATTATTAATTAATATTTAAGTTCATTAAATAATTCCGATGCGGTCCCGATAAGTCCCAAATTAGGGTTTCATGGCATTAGGGTTTCCAACCCATCTTAGCCCAATAGGCCCAATAGCTAGGTCCTTTGACCAATTAGGGTTCATTAGGCCCATTATGATTTCACTAGGCCTATTAGGGTTTCACTAATCCCAACCGAATCAAACAGGACAAGGCAAAGCACACCGCCACCCGACACGACGGTCGGTGGCGGCAGCCACCACCCTACGGTGGTGGTTTGAGATTTCTACTATTATTTGGCACCATTTACAATATACAACTCGATAACACACACACATACTAATATAAACACACACACACAGCCACCCTTGTGGTGGCCGGTGGTGGTAAGTGTTGGCAGCCACCACCTTACAGTGGTGGTGGCGGTTCCTGATTTCCCAGCCAAACAACTACACACTACAGCAGAAACAAACACCCACCTGCTTTCTTTCTTGAAAACAGATTCAGCCCCCCCCCCCCCCCGGTGGCTCCCGGCGGCGGCAACAGCAACGACTTGACAACGGCAGCGGCCTAAAACCCATCTCTGATCTTCGACGGTTTCCCCCCTCGGCTGCCCACGACGTCACAGGCAGCGGCTGTGGCGTTTGGGTGGCGAAGTAGCAGCAACAACGTAACAGTGGGATGACAACGCCGATCCTCGGTGGTCATAGGGCTCCAACAACGGCGCTTGGATCGGCAGAACAAATAAGAGGAGGGCAGCAGTTTAGAATAGCAACGACAACCGCTATCTCAGTCTTCACTCTAGTCGTCGGAGTCACACGATCGGAGGTTCACCATGGCGTCACGGAGGCGGAGGCTGTGCGATGGTGGAGGAAGGATGGTTGCGGCTCATCGTCTACTTTCGACGCAACCTTCACGATGCACACACCCGATAGGCCGAGGATGATACGGCGGTTCGCAGCGGCGTCTATGGAGGGGACGGTGACGGAGAGATGAGAGTGGAGAGGTGGAGCCGGTGAGGGAGGTATAAGGATGGAGATGGCGGCTGCAACTTCCTTCTAGGGTTAGGGTTCCTTAGGTCTTTATACCCGACTCCACTAAAAAGTTTGCCATAATGACCAAAATGGTCCCTCCAGTTCCCATTTATTTCAAAATAGATCCATATTTTACCTTTTTAACCCCTTCCATCTAAATTCCCTTCAACTTAAGTCCATAATTTACTAAATATACCCTGATTCCTGAAATCCTTTTCAAATTCAGCCCACAAATTACTAAACAGCCCTCAATATTAAAACTCATTGCAATTTAGGTACAATAATTACCAAACGGTCCCTTAGCCTCCAAAATCTCTTCACATGAAGTCCCAGAAGTTACCATATAGCCCCTGCCTTCATAATTATTTACAAAACTAATCCGGAACTGACACTTTTAACCCCCGACTTCCAAAATTGTGACAGTTAACTCCTCGAGACCAACATCTTGCTATATAATTATTAATTTTAGGGCTTTTATCCGTTTATTAATTAATTAATTTATTTATTTATATTCGTATATCAAAATAAAATAATATTTAAAACACATCTTCGGCTTTTAGATCTTGTCTTGGAAACGGGGTGTTACAAAATGACTTGCTAATATGAAGATAACTATGTATCTACAAGCTCAAGCTACTCCCAAGCAACCTCCAAGGCTTCTTCTTCTACTACTTCACCAAAAACACTACCAAAACTCGCTTTCAAGCTCAAAACTCACAAATGATACTTACGGTTTCATTTTCAGGGTAGAGAGTGATGGCAACTGATCAATAGAATGTCCAAGTGTGGTATAAGCTGCTTAAATATGGCACAAACACTAAAAATTAAGGTTTATCCCTGCCTTGCATACGCCATGCGTACTCCCACGTACGCCCAGCGTACATGGGTTCATGTGTGATCCTGAAACGGGTTAGTACGCTAGGCGTACTCATAAAGTACGCCCCGCGTACTAGCTTGGGACTATAATGAGATAAGTTTGCATTAAGGGGGGTTAAAAGGAACATACCGAATTCTCGAATGTTACAATTTTCATGTCAAAAATCGAGTGAAAACACCTCTAAATCGAATGAAAAATCGGAACTCTAGTTTTGAATTTTTTTTACTAAAAATCAACCTACTAACATAATTTATGCTCAAAATCAAAATACAAGCACTAATTAACCGATTATAAGTAAAAAGAAGGTACCTTTTGTGGAGAAAAACATTGAAAATCGAAACTTTTTGGAAAAAGAAGTCATGGAGAGCAAATCCTCGACGTGTTGGGTGTGTTTGGATGAAAAAATGGTTTCAACTTTTGACTTTTAGGCTTAAATCAAATTTCTGCGTAAAAACCTTTTCCACGTTGCGGTATGGAGACACCACGTTGTGGCCGGACTCCTTTCCGCTCTACGTTGCAGCGGTTTCTTCCAAAACCATGTCCTCTCCTTCTATGTCCAAAAAAATGGAATAACAATTTCTTATTTATTTATTTTTAATATATCTATAATTATTTATTAATTTTATAATTTATTTTTTCAAATAAATTAAAAAAATTTAACCTAATAAAAAACATTAATATGCATATTCATACTCAAAAGTTTTTTTATCTATTAAATATTAAACTGTAGTATACATTCTTAGTAGTTGTTTATAAATTTTAAATCACAACTAAATAATTTGTTTTTGTTTGTTCTATAAAACTTAAATTAGATAATACTATAATTATATGTCATTTAAAATGTTTTGGTTTTTGAAAACCAAATTATAAACACCGATCTAACTGATTTTTAAACAACTACTATGAATGTATGAAAAAATATTAAAAAAATGTATTAAATTTTAAAAAAGTTGTAAAAGAAAGTTTAGAAAATGTTGTATGAAATTTATAAAAAAACATCGTAACAAAATATAAAAAAATTTTAAAACTTGTAAAAATGTATGAAATTTTAAAAAAAAATGGTATGAACGTATAGAAAAAAGTTAAAAAATTGTTTACATTTAGACAACTTTTTTTTTACTATTTGACAATGATAATATGTAAACATATTTAACAAGTTAAATAGTTAAATAGGTAAAAAAAATTGTCTAAATGTGAACAAGACAAAAAGATAATTACCATCACAAGTCAGTTTTCCTAAAATAATTAATCAGCATCATCATTAATAGAATTAAAAATTGTAAAACTATTTTATATATAAGTGTGCAAGAGAATGATTTTATGTTATTATACAAGAATAGAAATATATATTGATAATATTATAAAAGATAAATATTTATCTTTCAACAAATATTTGACGAACATCTATAATAATAGAGATATAAATTAGTTTTAAATATAATTTCTACATATCTTATTATCTTTCAACAAATATTTGACAAACATTATTATAGTGATATAAATTAGTTTTAAATATAATCTCTACATATTTTATAGTACGAATTGGATAACATAGATTTCTATGTAATCTAGAATAAATATGTTTTAAATCTGGATTTAAGGATGGTATATTGGTATTCCTTCGCTCTGTTACTGAAGTTAATTATTAGGTTGGTTATTTCGTAATATTACTTTTAACATAAAAAGAAATTTCAGATTATTATTACAGTTCCATTTTATCATTGTAATATTCGCTTCAAGAAAAAAACTTTAGTACAAATGTACAACACACAAGAGTCCTTGAGCTAGACATTGTCAAATCGAACCAATCTTGCTATAGTAAATTTAATTACAAAAATGAATAAATACAACCTACCCAAAACATTTCAGCAACTTTAACAAAAGCCTCTATATACAAATTTCTTAGGCATACTATTTTTTATCATAAAAGTTCTTAAAATACCCAACCAACCCCATAACAAAAATCTAAAATTTTTAATAATTAATCAGAAAAAATCTCTTCAAGCTCATGATTTTCAGGATTAGTGATTAGATTCGAATCTTTTGTAGCCAACCTTTGAATCTCCGGTGTCTTGTTTTCGTTTTCAACATCCTCCTCATAAGAACTATCGGTTTCATCATTTGATTCCAAATCAGGTTTTGACCATATCATTGACTTTGACTTTGACTCTTTGTCTTCACATATGCACGCAACCGGGTTTTCATGAAACTCTCCACTCCCAGGCTTAACCTCATTGGGTTGGCCCATGAACCCGATCTGATAAAATCGGGTCGTGTTCACGAATTCCTTCCCATGTCATGTTGTCACGATCCTGAAACAAACGCCAAAGTTTTTTGGCGTTTGGTCTGATCGTAGGTTTATGCCCAAAGTATCTCCTAAAATAATCAAAATTCAAATGAAATTATTATTTCCAAAAGATTCCAACTAGTTAATGGAAAGAAAAAAAATTCTTGCGGGACCACACCACCCCACCCCAAGAACATCAAGTTGAATCCATGTCGGAATTAAAACTTTTAGATTGTGCAGTATACTGCGACTTAAACCATGACATGTTTCTATAAGTATATGCATTTTTCAATGAGTATTGTGTTTTGTACCTTCTGCCGGCTAACATTTTGGCCATGTTACCGTTGTTGTTTGTGACGAAAACATCGCTTTCGTCACAAACGATAAAATCCAGAGCGGCCATACGCGAAGAATATGATGAAAACGGTGCGAGTTCCTCTTTGTTTGTGATAGTGTCCTTGGAATGAATGTTCGGGAACAAAGCTTTTAACGGTGCTAATGTATCTTCACCTCCGTATACTTCACCAGATGCCACATAGATGTGAACATCTCTCCCATATCCTAATGCTCGTAGCATAAGCCCGACTTCCTCGGGAGTCAATGGGCATCTCCCTTGCCTTCGTTCTCTATCTGGGTTCCTTTTCTGCATTGCAAAAATCATGTTTTATATCCACATTTTAATGTTTTATAATAATGATTTAAAGGTGCACACGTTATCAGGCCGGACCAGGCCTAAGGGATATGAAAGACGGGTTTTGGGCCATGTCCTAGCCCAGTTTGTGTGCACCTCTATCTAGCTCTATTGATTGGGCAAAACGAAGCCTTACATGTAAAGTTTTCCACCTTCTTCGAATTTGTTGCAATTCTTGTCTTTCCTTGTCTCCACCACCATAATAGCATCCCGAGAATGCAAGCATATCGGATTCGAATCTACACATTTGAAAATTTTGTCACGAATAGAAAAAGTAGAAATCAAACGTTGAATCTGAACCGAAACCGATCACATTAGAACGGGTTCAGTTTCCAAAATCCGGATTTGATCGGTTCGGGTATTTCAACCTAGTTGAATATGTACCTTAAATGTAAAGCTATGAAATGCTTGCTTTTCTTCCTCATTCGTTCAACTAATGTTTTTCCCATTTCAACAATCGGATCAGTAAACTTCAACGCGTGATAATTGGCTCGACATCTCAATTTCTGAAGATCCGTAGCCAAACGGTTCGATAACCGGTAATCGAACTTGGTTAACATAACGGCCTGCCATAAAGTTAGTCGAAATCAATCTCTAAAAACAAGAAGTAATAGTAACGTACTTTTATTGATTTGTTATTATAATATTCTACTTTTATTTTTTTATTTCGGAAAATCTATTGTAACACTTTTACTGCTAAAATTGGATAATTTTTTTTTCAAAATAGATAACATTATAATTGGCAAGAAAATATATATACCTTTTTCTTGTCGAGTAAAGGTACCATTCGAGATTGATAGCACCCTTGATTGCATTTTCGGGGCACTCGGGTCCGATGAGGATGCACAACTCTCCCATTAATAGCAGGAAGCTCTTTAACGATCTTAACTTCTTTTGAAAGATACGATATAAACCAATCCACATCAAAGATTTCAGAGAAATTGCTGCATAAAATCATTAAAATAGACCCTATAAGAATAGAATCTACCTTGGGAATCGTGTCAACCCCACCCCATTTTTTTTTATCAAAAATATATAAAATCCATTATGTTTTAAAAGACGTGTACAAACCTTTGGTCTTTCCAATATGATTTTTGATCAAGTTTTGGGACTACGAGTGTCGCGTTTAGTATATAAGCAGCAACAACTGCATCTGTTATCTGCAATTTTTATTTTTTAATGTTACATTTTAGAAACAAATATATGTAAATAAATTAATAATGACAATGTATTACATAAATTAACAAACTTATTTCACATATTACATACGTACCCCTGTTCGTTGTTGATTTAAACCACCACTCGTTGCAATCAATAAAAACCGATGGGGATTTGTTTTTGCATTTGCTTCTATTAGATTAAGATACAAATTCAAATTGATTAGTATGTATTAAAAAAAATAAAAATTTAAAACTACGAAAATTAAATGCATGATTCATGTTTCTTGAATTAGATAATATAAGTGTATCCGAAAATGGGTATTTAAAGATTTTTGTTATAATTAAAGATAAAAAACAAACCTAAAAATTCTGATTTTTTTCCGAGCAACCGTAGTAGAACTGGGAGTGACTTGACTGCCATAGATTCCGACGAACAAGCTCTTGTGTTCTCGAATGCTTCAAAATTCATAACAAATAATAAAAAAAGTCGAACAGAATAAAAATTGTTAATTCTATGTAATTAAAAAAAACATCAAATTGTAAATAAAAAAAAGCGTAAAAACAGAACAAATCCAATGTAACGCTTACCGGAACAAGAAAAGCTGTCGGCTTTCGGGCATTTGAACGCACCTCGATGTATTGATCAGACTGTAAACAAGAATATTAAATTTGATTGAAGTAATGATTAGGTGAAAATGAGATTTAAGATTTATGAATGGGTTTTTGGTTATGTTTATGTTTACCTTATGGTGGGAATGGAATTGGTCGTGGTTGATTGGTGGCGAAAGGAATGATAAAACGGCGAAAAGGAATAAAATACAACCGGCGACGGCGGAGATAAAAGGGAGTAGATGATGGAGGTGGAGGCGGCGATGGTGGCAGAGTATTACACCTTGAAAGATACCGATACCGATGTAAACAGCGTTGTTATGATGATGGGTTTTCTTCTTCATGGTTGATGGGTTTTCTCTTTAGCTGATCAAATTAAACAACAATGGTGGTGTCAATGGGCAATGGCGGTGGAGGTGGCGATGGCGATGGTGGTGGTTGTATTTATTTTCCGACGATACATGGTTTTTCATGGCGTCGCAACCGCAACAGCGTCATCATCAACAGAAAGGTTGTTGCCATTGTGCGATTATGCTTCTGGGTTTTTTGAAGGATTCTGATTCTTGCAGATGAATACCAGAAATTTTGTAGAGAGAGAAAGAGAGAATGAGGAGAGAGAATGTGGGCCAGGGACTCCGGCCTTCACCTCGATGGAATCGCAAGCAAGAAATCTTAGTTGGATTTTTGATACGTTTGTATAAATCGTAATTGTAATTATAAAAAGGTCCCTCGAGTTTATGCTATTTTGCACAAACAGAGTAAATGTATTTAGTTTTTTCAGAAAAGGTCAAGAAATAACATTTAAAACAATGAAGGTTTTATCTAGGCAATGCAGATATTTACGAAATATATTCAAATAATAAATAATTAGGGGACATATAAATGATACAATTACTTTTTTTAGGAAAAACTTATATAAGCTTTTTATCATATAAATGATTAATAGTTATAATTGAAATGAATTATTCCTGATTATGTTTTATTAACTTATAAACTAGTATCTAAGCATTAATTTTCAGAATATTTATTTTTAGATGGAAAATTATTAAAAATTCGTTTCATTTTGCATATAAACGTGTCGTCTGTAAGTATAATTGGTATACTTTATTAGTCAATGCCCAAATAAGTTATTTGCATCAAAATATATACAAACTAGATGTACCAAATTATTAAAGTCTAAACATTCAAAATCACACTTTTATCATCATATCCATATAACATAGAGTTGAACAAATATATATAATGTTTATCCTATATTTATCTCTTATCTAATCATCTTAACATATATGTAATATTTTATTTTTTAATTTCCAAAAGAAATGTTTTTAATCATTTAGTGTATCGATGGGTAGAGGTGGCAATGGGTCGATCTGGGTTGGGTTCGGGTTCAACCCATTTAATAATTGGGTTGGACATTTCAACCCAACCCAGCCTGTTGATTTAAAAGGGTTGATATTTCCAACCCAACCCAATCTTTTAGATAAATGGGTTGTCATCGGGTTGACCTGTTTATGTAGTTCCCGACCCAACCTATTAAATAAATTGGTTAAACTTGGGTTAACCCATTTAAAATAAATTAAATAAATTATATCATTAAATATTATACCACTTAAATTAAAAAACGTAAATAAAACTTCATAATTATGACTGAAGCACAATCTTAATTCATAAAGACAATAAATTGTTCAAATAACATTAAAAATGTTTGGTTTCACAATGCTTTTGGAGAGTGACCAGTATTATCGGCGCTAAAAAATGATGGAAATTAAGATTGACTTTTATTAAACATAGATAATAATAATGCAACATTATAATTTACAAATTAATACTTTGATTAATACATGATAATATTCAAATAATTATTAAAGTAAATATATATATATATATATATATTAAAGTTAAATGGGTTGACGGGTTGAAAACGGGTTGATAATTTTTACCCAACCCAACCTATTTAATTAGATGGGTTAGACTGGTTGACCCATTTAAGTTAAATGGGTTGAAAACCTCAACCCAACCCGCTAATTTTGGGTTGGGTTCAGGTTGGGTTGGCGAGTTGAGTCGATTTTTGCCAGCTCTATCGATGGGTACTTAAGGATGTATCACCACAAAATCAAAATTGAGTTACCAGAACCTATATGTAATCTTTAGATTTTTACGTGTGGAATCATTAATTATAGTATATGTCGGTATATCCAACTTGGCTCACCGGCATGTAATCATTAATTATGGCATATGTCAACGTATCCAAGCTGGCTAACCAGCATATCTAGGTGCAAATTCAAATATGTAATTAATAAAATTAGAAAATCCATTACCATATGAGTCACAAAAAAAGACAAGTCTATCAAAAATACTAAAGTAAGCATTCAATACTAAGTCAAATATTTTAGATGTGAACCATTTGGGTTGTGGTGATTTGGTAAGACATATGGAAGATATGGTTGATAGCCTATTGACTCATGTTCAAATCCCCACACTACTCAGCCTATGTGGTCATGAAGGTTCGCCTGCAATGACTAATAGACATTGTCTCATGTTTGCAGTGGGGGATTACTCGGTGCGTGAAAGCTTGAAAGTTGACCTGTAAACCCTCATTAGGGAAGTTCCCTTTCCAAAAAAAGATTTTAGATGTTAATAATGAACTTTATAGTTACCAAAAGGCTTCTATCCTAACAGTATCAGATGTTGCCCTCCTTTTCGATGTTGAGGGTTTAAATCTCATCCTTTTTTTCCAAAAGAAAAAAGATTCATATGAATCATGCGTTTCTTTTTCTTCATTTAAACGAGCAATATATTATTAAATTACTAGGTTAAAGATATTGATAGATATAGAATGAATTTGTCAAATAAAAACCATATCGACTAATTGATATATTTTTTCGAAACTTATAGATAAATTGATATATACAGCTAGAATAAATATATTAAGAACAGATAAAACTTATCGAAGAGATGTAGATGTTACTATAGGTCAATTCTTGGACATGGTAACGGAAACAAAGTAGAGGGGCTATTTTTGTAGTAAAAACAACATCAGGAATCCCCTGCAAAATGTAAGAAACTCTAGTGGTTTTTTATGTAATTTGTTTTAGGATATTGTAGACAAATCAAAAAGGCTCGAGGATCTCGCCACCTGGCAATAACAAAGAATCCCAGCCACTCATAGTACAACCTCATTAATTGGTCAATTACAAGCAAAAAAGAAGGGCCGGGTAAGATGGTTTGTTGAAAGAGAAAGGTATAACTGTAAAAAAAAAAAAAAAAAAAAAAAAAATCATCAAATATTAATAATTTTGCAAAATAGGATTTACATATTTGTTTATATTGTGTTAAATAGTTTTGCAAAATACATATTATTTAATAAAAAAAGTAAACGAATTTTAGGTTTGTTTGGCAACGAACGTTTGACAATTTTATTTAAACAAAAAGTTTTGTTAGGGAAAGAAAGTGTTTAGCTTTTGTTTTTACGATTCATATATTTATAAACGTTATTACATTTAAATAGTTATTTAGATTGGGTTATTTTTTAATCTAATTTAAATTATCCGGTATTTTATCATGTTGAACGAAACAACTTTTAAATTAAAGTGGAATAACTAACTTGAAAATAATTGCTACCTGAACTACTACGCTAATTTTTTTTGATACATATTCAAATTGTCAATGACAGTTTCATTAAATTGTACATTATGCATCAGATTGAGTACTACCATGACATCTTAGCATGTTGTAAAATATATCTATATATTAAAAGCAACTTGTAATTAAATAATAGTTACAGTATAAGATATTGGTTATTAACAGTATTAATAATAAAATATTTAGTTATACAAATCATCAGTATTTATCCTAATATTATAAGTAATGATGAAAACAAGATGGGGTTTTACAAGATTCTGTCTCGTTCCATTCGTATTTGATGCATACAATGATACAAAGAGCGAAAATAGGTGAATCCGTGAATACAATAACACTTTTCTAAACTTAATTCGATTTTGTATGTACATATTTTTACCTTATGGATTATGTAAATCCGATCATGAAAATTGATAAATATATATTATTAAAATAACTATATATTTTTTATTAATTATAAAACAATAACTTATTAACATTTTAAATATATAATTCGTAAGTTGTGTATAAAAAAATAATTTATTTTTTATTTTTTATTATTTTTAATAATTATCTTGTTTAATGAAAGGGATAATAACTTAAAAGGGTAACATATTCTTTGATTTGTACACATTAAGTCACTGAGTTTTTTTTTGTCCATATTTTCCCATTGAACTTGTTGAACTATTCAAAAAACATCCTTATGACATGCTATTGGAGGTTTAGCCGGTTTCCGGCGTATTTGACAGCTCCGGTCATCTTCTCCGGCGTTCCTGGTTTTTCCGACGAACTCAAAAACTCTGACACTCATGATTTTCCATCAGATCACTGTTCATCGTCTTCAACCTCCGACCATAGTGTTCTTAAGCAAACCTGAAACAATTTCTTGAGCCTAGGATCGTGTTCTGATCTAACCCACATCTACACACTTAAATCTGATAAATCATTTATAGAAAATCTGTCAAAAAACAAAATCATAGACACATCCAGATCTGGGTTCATGTTCTGAACAAACACATGCACTCAAATATGAAGAAGCTCTCAAGAAAACGATGAACAACCGTGATGAACTAGATAAAGATCTGAAACACAATATGAACAAATCCATCCGAAAAACTCTAGATTTCGAGTTTATTTAAGAAGAATCCATCTGGAAACGATTTCCAACACACACCTGCTTGTTTTGTTAGATCCGACATACACTCCATGGATGAAATCGATTTGAAGGTCAGATCTAGAAAATGGGTTTGAAGCTACATCGTGTTTTGAAATCTGAGTATTGTTCCATATATGGTGTTCATCATCTTCAACCTCCAACCCATATATGATGTTTATTGTCTTCAACCCAGATCTGATGCTCGAAGCTTCCCTTGAAAACCTTCAAACATGGTGTGTTCATCGATTTCAGGAAGGTGTTCGTCTTCATCATGTTCATCTTCTTCCCAAAAAAAAAAGAGTTCCAGAAGTGTTCAGATCTGAAATCAAATGATGTTTAAGGTTTGTAGCGATTTTCAGATCTCTTCATTCGAGTTTAAACCCAGATCTCTTCATTCGATTTTCAGATCTCCAAACATCTTCATTTGATTTTCTGATCAAAAAACCTCTTTTTTCTCGTTTTGATTTATGATCCCAAAATTCGAATCTAATAACACACACACACACACATGAACTTAAATCTGAAATCGAGTTCAAGAAATCGAGCTTTGGGATTTCTAATGGTGCTAGATCTGGGTTTCTGATGGTTTTCGTGTTCAACTTCACAGCCCCTTCATCTTCACAACCCTCTTCTTTTGAAATCGAAATATGAGTTCTTGGGTTCTTGTAACCAAGAACACCAGCTCTGCCATGGTCTTTTTCTTCCTTAAAAACCCACGAATTTGGAACCTTTCAAACTTGTTGGTTTCTGGAGATGACAAAGTTGCCGGAAAAAATTCATGTTTGGCCGGAGAAGATGACCGGAGACTTGCCGGAACTCACAAGAACGCCGGAAAACCGGCTAAACCTCCTATAGCAAGTCATAAGGATGTTTTTTGAACAGT